CTCTCTCTCTCTCTCTCTCTCTCTCTCTCTCTCTCTCTCTCTCTCTCTCTCTCTCTCTCTCTCTCTCTCTCTCTCTCTCTCTCTCTCTCTCTCTCTCTCTCTCTCTCTCTCTCTCTCTCTCTCTCTCCTCTCTCCCTCCCTCCCTCCCCCTCCCTCCCTCCCCCCATCATGACCAGCTGACCGCGAGAATGCTGTCCCCTTGTCTTTACTTCCTATATTATGATATGTATGTCATATTTTTTTCCTTCGACTCTTTATCTTCTTTTCATGGCTATAACGGGGGGGGGCGTGACAAATTCTCGAACATTTTTGGCGGGAAAAACATCGACGAACGCCTTTTCCATCATTTACAGCTCATCTTTGTTTCGTTTATAGCTTGAAATCTATATCCGCATTCTTTTCTAAACTTGTCACGGTTCAGTTTGTCCTTTTATCTTTTTTTCCACAAGGTCACTGGTATTATGGCATGATTAGCCTTATTTTCACTGAATTTTATATAATAAGTTTTTCTTTTAATTACCCCTAAGACTTCCTAAACACAGCAGAAATGGTTCCTTATAGTCATTTTGTGCTTACTTCATGTATATGCATCAATATTTACAAGAAAATAGACCTAAGCTGTGTCAGAGATATCCGTTATTTTCGAATAAATTCAAAATAATCAAGGACGGTTACATAAGCTGAGGTCATTCATTCCCTAACCTAATTCAATTGGATTCCATTGATAAGTCTCCCTTTATGAAAGCGTATAAAATCTAGAAAACAATAATAATGGTGGTGATGGTGATGGTGGTGGTGATGATGATGATGGTGATGTTAAAGATGATGATGATGATGATGATGATGATGATGATGATGATGATGATGATGATGATGATGATGATGATGATGATGATGATGGTGATGATGATGATGATAATGATGATGATAATTATATATTTTTTTTCTGTCGCTTATTCATAATATATCTATGCGTGATATATCCATTTTGCGACTTTACTGGGATGATGATGATGGTGATGTTAAAGATGATGATGATGATAATGGGGACGAGGATGATAGCAAAAATAGTAATAATGATAACTATAGTAATAATTTATATTCATTTTCCGATTTTATTCTTGTTAATTGCTCATTTACCTTCTAAAGACATTTTTTTTTTTACTGTGAAACGTTACTTATCTCTAATCACTATACCATCCAACCGAAGACATGAAGAATACAAATAACACTTTATTCCCAGAAATCAAGCCTACTTTTTTCTACCATTCAGAACGACAAAGTGATCGACTTATAAGAAACGGATAAATTGCGTTTGAAGAATGAATTTTAAAACTCATTCGCAAACATGATGACGTCATTCCTACCTCCCATTCCCGTGCTTTTAAAATGCGTAACAATAAACTGCACTGTCCCTTGCATCATTTAGATAATTGATTCAAATAAACTACTAGTCAATAGAGTTTTATTACTCCATTCTCCAATTGAGATCAACATCAGATACACTTGTTCTAGATCCTATTACAGAAATTGCTTATGGCCATTTGTTAAACACGAAATAGCTGCCATTTATCACCGTATGGCGTATCAATGACATAATCACCAATTGATTGTTGTTGCGTGTGTGTTCATGTGCGATTGTGAGCTAGTAAAGTTCTTGTCTTTCATTATCTTACTTTTATTTCTTCGTCAAATTACTAACAAATTATCTGTTTGGGAGTTCTATCCTCGCAGCTGTTGCTAAGTCAGCCTTCGTGTTGAAGTTATGGCGAACATCCAATGAATATTATCCTGATGTACCTTAATAAACAGTCCAACTACTGGCCTGTTTACCGCGACTGTTTTTTACATCTATTCCTTGCCTGTTTACCATGACTGTTTTATACATTTATTCTTTCCAATGGTGCAATCTTATCAAGTCATGATGTTCCTTTACATGTATTTATTTCCACAATAGGATCCGTGGAAGATCAAATTAAACCTTATAGTTGAAACCTTCAACTCTGTTTAGCGCTTTGCAAAGGTCGATGTGGATCAAACCCATATTGGACGTTTTCTAAAGACCAATGAAGCTTTTACATTAAGAGTATTTGGCAGCAAGGTCAATACAAGTACTTACATAGACCTTGTTTGGCAGTTCTTCTAAGTCAAGAATCTTTGCTTGTGACGTATTCTGGCCTTACAAATGAACTCTATTTCTCATAAATTGAACAGCTCACATTAATTACATATTTCAAAATCTTATTCGGGCTTTTAATACACTCTAAAGACCACATATGGTTTCTCCTATCCCATTTTGACACGGTTAAAAATTAAGCCTGTGGGTTGTCCGTGACCACTTCAAATATCCATTATTTCCTTTTTTCTCGTCCTCAAAATAATTACTGTTCTTTGGATACATAAATAAATCATAACCAAGAAAGAAATTAACCGAGAATGTTAGAATAATCTGTAATGAAGTTTTCAGACTTCAAATAAAGCGTAAAACCAGCAAATCATCTGCGTGCATGTGCGCGTGTGCAAAGTATGGATGCTCAAAAGGCACGGGTCTCAAAAGAATTTCCCAGAAAATATTTGTGAAAAGCAAAGGAAGACTCTTTTTTAAATAGTACTTATGTCCAGCATTTACCTTTTTCTGCTCTACTGAATGAAATCATATTCTAAAGATCGCAAATACAATTTCTGAATCACATCCAAATCTCATGTTCTATAAATACATATTGAGTTGTCAATTTCAAAATTTTGATAAATCAACAAGTGTATTATCACTGACGATTTCTTCATAAACCAAAAGTACTTTCAATATTCCTCAACTGAAAACCTTACATGCAACATATACAACACTCAGGAAATAAAAACACATTTTTTTATTCATTTATATCTATTTCCTTTTTCAGTCATCTATATAGCTGACATATCAAGATTCTAAAATTGTATCACAGTTCTGCAAACATGGAATGCTAGTCCTAAGTACAGACCCTTTAGCCTGCCAAAGATGTGATTGTTCATAGATCCATTACACCTCTTTCCTGCTCTCCTGCAATTGTAATACTGCAATACAGTGCAACATCAACTCACTTTTATTACAATCGTGTGCATGCGCCTGACTGACTGAAGCTTGATTTTGTGTCAATAGCAAGATTATGGACTTGAAATCCAAGGAGTGAAATTGGTGCCGCTGGCAATTGGGAAAACTGCAAACCACAGATATCAACCTGGCAGTAGTAATAATAGTAGTAGTAGTGTGTGTGGTGAAGTGTTCACACACACATACAGTGCATCAAGTACTAAGCATTAATATAGTGCTCAGGTGAGATGTTATCAACACTTATTGCCACTGTCTTTTATTTTATTTTTTATTTTTTAATTCTCAAAAGTCATCAAAGGCAAAAAAATAAATTGTTTTCAGGCTCTCCGTGTGAAATGTGACAAAGAGTGACAAGAGTGAGCAACACCAAAGCTTACTTTTACTTACTTGCTTTAGGCATTTTGTGATTTTGCAAGCTCTTTACATCTGCCCCTTGCCTTTAAAGGTGAAGATTACAAAAAAGAAAAAAAAAAAAAATTAAAATGCTATACAGAAATCAATGCCTCTTTGCCCACCATGAGGATACGTGAGCGAGGGAAATGATACCTAAGTGAGAGTGGAAGCGGGAATGGAGTGTGAGAGTAAGAGTGGGAGGGAGTGAGAGAGTAAGAGTGGGAGTGAGAGTGAGTTTGAGAGGAGTGAGTGAGAGTTGGAGCAGGAGTGAAAGTGGGAGTCAGAGTCAATTAGGGTCAGAGTGGGAGTGAGAGTGAGAGTGCAAGGGAGAGGGAGAGCATATGTGTGAGAGAGACAGAGACAGACAGAGACAATATTTACAAAATCATATTCAATAAACTTCAGACTGTGTCAAAATTCCTGAATGCAAGGTTATATAAGTGCATACACCTCATTGTGTTTCACTTCATGTGTCCAAACCAGTTTCGAAAAGTATATCAAAAATTCATTTGTTTTATATGACTTCCCTTCAACCCTATATAAAGATAATAAAACAAGCAGTATAACTTCTCCAAAGCTAAAAAAAAAATCAACTACCAACCCACTACAAATGACATCAAGAAATATATATATATATTCAAAAGGCCATGACAATCTTTCAGAATGCACCACAGTTATCCAAGAGAGAGTTGAGATGATGTGATAAAAAGGCATGAGGTTTATACTAACAATAAAAAAAGAAAAGAAAAAAAAGGCATGAGGTTTATACTAACAATAAAAAAAGAAAAGAAAAAAAAGGCATGAGGTTTATACTGACAATAAAAAAAGGTATGAGGTTTATACTGACAAAATTTATCTTTTAAAAAAGTGCACAAAGTTTATATTGATAATATCTATCTTTAAAAAAAAACAGGCATGAGGTTTAAATTGACAATATTCATCTAGAAAAAAGAGAGAGAAAACAGCTTAAGATTTAACCAACAATATTCATCTTAAAAAAGAAAAAGAAAAAAAAAAGAGCAAAAATGAAATCTATAACATATTCATCCTCAAGAAAGAAAAAAAACGTTAAAAAAAATGGCTATAAGGGTTATACTAACAATATCAACCTTGAAAACAAAAAAAAATCAGGCACGAGGTTTATACTGAACGAACACCATCTTTCCTTTCAGTAGACGACTTACACACTCCCCTTGTACCAAGCCATAGAAGAGGCACATGAGTTGTGTAAATAAGAGGCAATAAATTTACTTCAAGGCTATATAAAAGACTTGTGTAAAAGTACAGAGAATGATAAGCCATAAAGATAAGACTACCCTATATACACAGATGCATATTGCGAGAGATATTGATAAAAAGAATAATAAAATTGATGATGATAATAATGTTGGTAAAAGTGATAATAATGATGATAACCTTGATAATAATAATAATGATGATAATGACGATAACATCAATAACAATGATCATAATAATAATAATAATAATAATAATAATAATAATAATAATAATAATAATAATAATAATAATAATAATAATAATAATAATAATAATAATAATAATTAGCAACAACAATAATAATGATAATAAAAGCAATACAAACAACATCAATATAAAGAGCAAAAATCATCATAACAGCTGCACTTGAATTCCTGAAAAGAAACGTAATCTTAGCTGCAGAAAAAAATTGAAAGATTATAAAACATCCCATAACTCAGAAGAACAAGAAACACAATCCTTGAACTCGAAACAAAACAAAAAATACAAAAAAAAAATCCTTCTAAATCTTACCACAAATTGTAAACCTTTTACACCGAACTTTCGACGAAGCCTTTGACTTGCTTCTGTAATTCGTCTTGCCTAAGTTAAAGTATTACAATTAAACTCTAAAGCAGAGGATAAAATCAACTGTAATACTAATATACGCCATAAAGAAGACACTGGCTAAGATACAACTGAAGCATAAAAGCAACCATTCGCTTATATAGTCAGTCATAATCACCCTAATAGTTAAGGCTCTTTATTGTTAGTTACATAATGACTAGAAGTCAAAAACACAAGGGGGACCTTTCACTGTGACCTTTTCTTGTCTATTTTTCAGCTTCCATCTTTTATTTCCGGGGGGGGAGAGCTAGTGAAAAATATTTGTGACAAATACGAGACCCGAACGTGTTCCTTTGCCAGGTTAGTTGACGCCCGAGTGACATTCGATGAAACATAAATCTACTAACGTCTTACATTACTTGTGACATTTCTGACACTCTCACTTATTTTGAAGCCATAACGACCTTTCAACTTTCAAGGTTGTTTTCCTTTTCTCCGAAGTGGGGAAAATGCTACCTAAGAAGAAGGATTATGCAATAAGCAAAACATAATATACAATAATACATGCTACATAAAATAAAGCTTGTAGATACAACGATTAATATGTACAACTTCTAATAATATCAAATTGAGTAACTCAAGATTCTTGGAAAAACTATAATCAATAACAATACAAAAATAACAATAAAATATGAAACTCCAATAAACAAAAATACAAGTAACTGCTTCAAATACATTAACAATAGATTTATGTAAAATACTCTTAAATTGTGATCACAATCAAAACTGCCTTACAACTACTGCTTTAACAAATAAATACGAGTACATGACAAGGGTAAAGGGGGGAGAGTGAATATAATAAATAAAAGAGGGAGACTTATTTCCCTTAATATTTCCAATGGCCTCACAACCCAAAGCAAATTATTTTCCGTGAATTACTTCATTCCTTCCGCTTTCCAAAAAATGCAACACACTTGCCAAAAGACCCTAGCGTCAAAATTCTCTAGCCTTCACAGTGATTCCTATGAGGCAAAAAAAAAATTCACAAGGAAAAGTTATTAACGGCAGTTATGTGTTTCAAGATGTACCTCATCATGATCAGTCACAATATGCTGTGTCCCTTTTACTCCCCCATTTTATTACGTATCAATCACAGATAATCCTGTTTACTCAAGAACAGAAGAACAACATTTGTCTTACGATTACTTACACGAAAAATCCAGATCAACGCTTCATCACATAGGACCAGCCAATGCCAAAAACCTAAAAACCACCTACGTGAATACCAAATCACAAGGCAAAATACACAAAATACTATCAAACACCTTGATTCAGATCTTTACAAAGACTAAGGATCTAAAGCTGTTAGAACAATACCAAGACTTGAATGCACTGAGGGCATCAAACTGGGGAACTGTTGTACCACACTGGGAGTAAGAAAATTAAGAATTATACTCCACAGAGAAACACAATCTGCATAATACATGGTAATTAGTTTGCATATTTGTGACAATGACATATCTGACTGTATTCCATTACCATTTACCTACATAACTCTCCTCAACCAGGATTCAAACCTTAAGTTTTGCAGGCAGGTAACTGCAAGACAGATATTCGCTATAACGTCTGTCTTGTGGTTACCTGCCTACAAAACATAGGTTCGGATACCATTTACCTGTAGAGGTCTTTGATTCAGTTACAGTTGTTTTGGTTTTGGTATGTTTTTCAATATGAATCTGACAAAACTGCCTTCATCGCCATGATGAAGATATACCATTACTTAATGCTTTTCTTCTCCTCCACTACAACTGTGGAAAAAAAAATACTGTAAAAAAAAATATATATTATCAATCTTCATTTCCTTTGTGAGTGCTAGTTATGATACGAAACAATATCAAACCTCTATTCACCACACAACCTATCACTGTGAGATGAGCTCTGTGTCAACTTGACTGATTCCGTTGGTATGTTGCTGGACCAAACTTAGTGCCAATACAGCCGCCCTCGTGTCCATCATGACATCACCATCATCCTCATCTTCGTTGTCACTACCTGACAATGGCTGAGCATCATTCTCTATCTCAAGAAGTTGGTCATCCTCCTCCTCCTCCTCCTCCTTGGAATTTTTGTTTGCACATGCATCCTCTTGCTCCGCCGATTCCGCAGGTCCAGTCTCTGCTTCGGAATCACTCTCTTCTTCGGACATCACCTCTGCTTCTACAACTGAGGTGTCAGTTGAACAATTATCACTTTCTTCACTTTCCGTGCCTTCACCATCTACAGAAGGAGATGCATGAAATGCAGAAATGTAATAGTTTGACAGTCATATGTTGTAAACAATACAGCATCAAAATTAATTTGCTTTCAAACTCTTGTAAAATACTAAAATCTTTACATATCCTGCAGAGTTAATAATCTTAAATATTTTTCTCACATGATTTTTCTTAACCTCCTATCTTATATTACCATGCTGCCATTATTCCAGCTAAGCCTTGAATCAATTACTGTACCTGATTCTTCGGATTCCGCTGATGCATCTAACAATCTCACATCTTCCCGTTCTGTCATATCCTCATCATCTGTGTCCCCTATGGCTGAAAGGAGTGGGACGTCTTCTTCGTTTCTATCACTCAGTGTTACCTGCAGGTAATTGGGGACATCTTCCTTTAGAGTTGTATAAAACTAACTTCACCTGTCTTGTCTAATTACCTCTTTCACTCACTTACACACTCACTCACACTCACATTCATTCATTCATTCATTCATTCATTCATTCATTCATTCATTCATTCATTCATTCATTCATTCATTCATTCATTCATTCATTCATTCATTCATTCACTCACTCACTCACTCATACTCTTCACTCACTCTCTTTTACACTCATACACTAAATCACCTAATAGAAAATATATGAAACAAAACACAACTAAAACTAAAGTCCACATGCCAAATATCCGACAAAGCATCGCAACTTTATGTCTCGCTCTACACTGACCTGTCTTTCAACGGGCACTGAGAGGCCTGCGTTAACTTTGCCCTCCTCTTCGCTCTCCTTCTCGTCACTGCTCCTGCTGTTTCTCCGCCCTCCTGTTCCTGGGAGGGTACAGGAAACAAGGACAGGATTAGCTTGTATCTTTTTTATATATATGTGTGTGTGAGTGTGAGTGTGATGTGTGTGTGTGTGTGTGTGTGTGTGTGTGTGTGTGTGTGTGTGTGTGTGTGTGTGTGTGTGTGTGTGTGTGTGTGTGTGTGTGTGTGTGTGTGTGTGTGTGTGTGTGTGTGTGTGTGTGTGTGTGTGTGTATGTGTGTGTGTGTGTGTGTGTGTGTGTGTGTGCGTGTGTGTGTGGTGTGTGCGTGTGTGTGTGTGTGTGTGTGTGTGTGTGCGTGTGCTGTGTGTGTGTGTGTGTGTGTGTGTGTGTGTGTGTCCTGTGCAGGTGGGTGTGCAAGTGTGAGCGTGAGCGTGAGGAGTGTGTGTAAGTGCACGTGAGTGTGTGTGTGTGTGTGTATGTGTGCGTGTGAGTATGTGTGTGAGCCGCGTGTGTGCACGTGCAAGCGCATGCATGCAAGTGCATGCATGTACATGCGAGTGTGTGCACGTGTGCCTGTGGGTATGGGTGTGTGTGAGTGCATGTGCTTGTGTGAGACAAGAAACTTCGAGGCTGGAAAATTAGACACATTTAGAATATTTTTTTCACACCAAATAAAAATCCATTTGTACCTTTCCAAAGTTCAATTGTTAACTTTCATAATCTAAAAAAAATAGTATATGCACATCATGAATAGTTTTACTTACTGAAAATAAAAACACTTCTACTGTTTCATTCATTAAACTGTAGGTGGCAAGCATTGCTTAGACACAGTTGTCAGATCTATGAATTATTGTTTTTTTCTGGCACATCTGTTGCAGATAAGGTAATCTTGTTCTTAAGTTTTGACATTCTGATGTAATTTTCTCAGTCGGATTTCCTTCCTGCTGTAGATATTTGTAAAATCATTTTAACCTATCACAGTCATCATTACAGATCTACATCACTCGCTCACAGAATACTACATACTACACATGTATAGCCAGATAAAAATTGTCACCTCCAGACTTGTGGTTTACCAGCTGGAAATCTTTGCAACTGTACATCCTTGAACATGTGTATTGTATACATTAGATAATAATTAAATAAATCAAAAAAAAAATTCCAACCAAGTTTCATGACCCAACACACTGTTTTGATACCTTATGGACAATAAACATATAGCCCATACACCATACCCCATGAATAATCCCATTCAATTCTCGTAATCTTTCACCAAACATCCTTAAACCACAACTTCTGACCATAATCAACAAGAAATTCTACCCTTGGTTTAATACCATTACCCACACCCCGAGATGTACCTGAGAGTTGACTTGGGGCTGGCAACTGGCCTGAGCCTGGATCACGATTGGCAAGGGGGATTGGGTGCCAGTCTGCCTCTCACTGCCACAGGCATGCCACCCACCATGGACTGTGCTGACGTCGACCTACACGCAGAGCATACAGCCTACACGTGCAGCCCACGGCAATTACTAAGAGCAGGGAACACACCAAACCTCCCATAGCAGCAGCCACAATCACTGAATTCTGTAGAAAAAAAAAATGGTTCCTGAAATTACCGATTGTACTTATTCGTGAAGACAATAATTCAAATGCTATTTTCTTGTTTTTATTTGAGCTTTTAATGTCATGGTTTCATTTACCATCATGAAATCATACAAAATCAAAATTTTCAATGACCTGTCATGTCATCTAATAATGAAATATTCATTTGAAGACTTTCTAATCAAGTGCTGGAATTTTGCATATCATCCTTTGGACTCTTCAATACACACAAAAATAATTCCTATATCACACATCCATTTACATACAAACCTGTGCAAGACCCTTGATCTTCTTATAATTTTGACTATGTATATAACACCATAACATATTTGCTTTGCTTTAACACAAAGAGAAAGTAAACAATATATATAATATCCATATCTACATATCCTTTGACCTGTAAACTTCAATTCCAAGCATAAAAATCACATGGCATTAAACCCCTGACCAGTTTAAACCCTCACATCAATACCTACTATCTATAAACTGATAACACATATCCATTCCTTTGTATACACCCCATACCAAGACCCACTGACGGACCAAATGACCGACCCCAATACCTACAGAGAATTTCATATATCAAAAAAAGAGAAAAAACAAAAGTAACAATATCGTTCACAAAGATAAAACCCTGAAATATAAAAAAAACACAAAATCCCAATAACGTACTCTGTGGCAATCTTCCTCGTCACTGGCATCCCCACAGTCATTGAACTGGTCACACCTCCAGGCTTCGCGAATGCAGCGCCGGTTTGCGCACAAAAAGGCACCATGCTGTAAGAAGGAAAACTGAAAAATTAGGAAAATCCCGGCAACATATCACATATTAGTGTTTTCTACTCCCATTCCTATAATCTTTCAAACCACTAACTTCATGACATTACTAATTCTCATATAAATCATTTACATTGATTTCCTTATCACACAACATACACCAAGAAATACAAATACAAAAATTGCATAGAATCGTCATTCAAGATCACACAATTTTTAATGTTTTGCGCACATCCAAGAAACTCCATATGCAACTGAAAAACAACTAAATTCCACATGATTCTACTGAAGAATTACCCACTGACACCAGGAATGCATGTATATTTACATAGCATCCATTATGTTTTTTTTTTTTCTTTCACTATTTCTGTCTTACACACAAATAGCCCCATAGGCATTTAGTGATCAAGGAGTCAATTACCATGCCTACTTCATCTCAAGTATTTACCACATTTCATGAATTTAAGTGGGAAAAAAGTTTTACTAACTATAATAACAATAGCAACAACAATTCAAAATTCAAAAATTGCAAATAAATAAATAAAAAATAAAAAATTTTGAAAATTAACATCACTGGATAAAAAAGTGTGATACAGCATGCCTAGCAAATGCAGAACCATCTATCTGCAAATGAAATTAGTAAAGCATAATCAATAGAAAGAACAAAAACTCATCATCAATGAATTAAAAAGAATAATCCCTCCACCAAACAATAAAAAAAAATGCATAATTCTATAAAACCACTAAATAAAATCAAAAAGAGCTTCACCTGTGGATGGCACAGCTGCGGAGTGCAAGAAGCTTCGTCTGAGCCATCCCCGCACTGTGACGCCCCATCACACCTCTGTGCGGGCGTGTAACAGCCACCTCCTCCACCACAGCTTATATTTTGCATACACTGTCCTGGAGATGTAAAAGATCATTCTGAAAACACCTAGTAATTGTGTAAACCATTAGCTAAAGTGTCTAAAAACTGCAGGGGAATTACAACAGTTGATTATCCATTTGAGTTAGACATATTTATCCATGAATACTAATTATAAAAAACAATGAAAAGCATATCATTTGAATAATCAAGAGCACAGGGCCATAATCAATCATTCAGGTACTTTCTAATAAAGAAAATATATATATCTCAAAGAAAAAAATGCTAATTCTTCACAATCTGTCAGTAACTTTTCCTATAATCCTACCGACAAAACAATAAATGCAAGCAAAAATATAACCTACGGGCCAGAAATAATAATAACATTTAAATTATATGCAACCCTACAACAGACTGAATGCAATAAAACTACTCATAACATAAACAACAATGCAACAGACTGATCGACTTGTTTGCTTACCACAGCCTATTTCGTCCTCTCCTCCTGGGCAGTGCAAGATTCCGTCACAACGCTGAGTTTTAGGGTCATAACAAAATTCAGAATTTGGTGAACACTGCGTCTGATTGAAGAGGCAACCTGTGTGAGAAAGGTCGGTTTATGCACCAAATCTAAAAATGCTGAAGCTTTTTAAACATTTCTTTAGACAAATCTAGGTATATTTCTCCAAAGGAAATTAATCTGAAACATTACCTATTTCTTCAATTGAACAATCTCAAAACAATCAAAATCATATCAGACTTTCATACAACAATACTAAAAAAATAGAAAACCTTACACTCTGCACAGAAAAAAAAAAAAAAAAAAAAAAAAAAAAAAAAAAAAAAAAAATAAAAAAGATATATATCTATATATATATATATATATATATACAGACACAAAACTTACTGCAGTAGATTTCATCGGCCTTGTTGCGACAGTCCGCTATGCCATTACAACGCCTAGAAGCCTTGTAGCAGTCTGTCCCTTCCCCACACCACCACTCATCTGCATCACACCCTATAAAGAGGAATGGTGTGCATTCAAAATCATGACAAAAATATTGATAGAAACATAAATGAAGGGATACCACACATGACTTGCAAGAGGAATCTAAGAAACAGGCCTTTTGAAAAGTACTTCTTTTTTTTCTACAATTAAAACTTTCTCAGCATCATACTCTTATTTACACCAATTCTAAAATCCACAGTAAAAGCTGGGGTTCCACTGGCTTTACCCGACTCTGGGACCACATTCAAATCAGGGAAGACCACTCTTTTGGCCAGGCCTGGACACTTACTTGGGGCATTGGGATAGCCAGGCCATGGGGACTCAACCCTAGTCCTGCTCATTATTTTGCAGGTAATGAGAATTTAGTCTAATATCATCCTAAATGTTCGTTAAAATTACTGTATAGCTAAAACATCATTCAAACATTTTGAAGCCAGCCTAGACACACTAAGCCCAGAAAAGAGCAATTGCAATGTAACTAATAAGTGAGATTTGGTAATCAGCAGCAGCTCATGGAAAAGGACTGAGTCTAGTAGTGGTACTGGGCTTAAACTGCCCTTATCGTTTCAGCCAATCTGCTACAAATCTCATTTACAACAAAATCATATGTAAATTATATATGCATTATGCTAAACATACTCTTCTACAATCTGTTTAAGCTCTCAAAGACTTTCTGAGTATATTGAGGAACATTCCTCTCATAATGAATACTATTCACCAAGTAACAGAATAATTGACAAAGGCCTTATACAACGTAATACTTAAATTTTTCTTCATTCTTTTTCTTGTTCTTTCTCAATATCTCCCTTTTCTTATAACTCATTTTCTTATTTACATTTTCTTTCTTCACTTTCCCCTTTCCTTGACTTTCAATTCTCTTTACCCTTCACCCTTTTTTTCTCCCTTTACCTCTTTGCCTCCTACATCTTTACAAGCAAAAACAACACCATTCATACTTACCAAAGCAACCAAGCTCATCCTCCCCCTTGGCACAGTGCCACCGCCCATCACAGTGCTGCTCGTCCCGCAACCCAGGACAACAAGCTGAAACAAAAATGGACATGACAAACTTATCACTAGAGGTTCTCCTTTTTAGTACAGTATGAACTCACTCTAAACATTTTCAAAACCTGTTATATTAAAATCCAACCTCTTTGACTGCTGATGTAAAAAAGATAACCTGCCAGTGAGTTCTCATCACAATCCAGCTGAAGCTTTTTCCAAAGAAATACAATGATCATTCACAATACAACAAAATGCATAGTCATTTACCGTTGCAATTTAGGTTAATTGTACTTTTTAATATGCAATTCAGGTCACTGTAATTACCAGTATCAACGCACATTAAAAACATTCTTCATGAACACATTAACAGTTAGATATTACAACAAGAACATTTATTTTTTCTGCCAACACCTTTTGCAAAAATTTTTTTCCCTCATCTGACGAAAATTCTGGGGGGCCACTTCAAGGGCTCTTGGACCATTTTACACTTCCCAAAGGCAATTTGGGTAAAGCCAGGGATTTTCTTTTTGGGGGTTTTTCTTGAAAAGCCCCACTGGAAAAAACTTTTAAAATTTTTTTCT